GGAGAAACTGAACACTCAAACGGACAGCTCAAACGGACATTAGTCAAAGTGTGAAGCGGCGCAGATTTACCGAAACCACCCCAACAGCGAGGTTGAGTTCGTTTCTCAGACAACGACGAAGCAGCCGAAGCCGCTTCCATTGAGTCCTACGTGTAAGCACTATAAACAAACTGCGGAGATCCCGTGTCCAAACGTGCAACACATCCAATCTGAACAGAGGCCGACACTGTGAATGAGGATTTTGGTGAAGGAGTCGTCATCTATCTATGGTAACAACACCACCAACGAATCCGGACCTTGCTCAGGGAACGAAGAAGAGGGTGGCCGGTTGCACCAGGCAGACACGGCTCAAACAGCGGTGTCGTGATGCGACGGAACACTCGAAGCGTATTGCGAAAATGACGCGAATCGTTCAGTCGACGAAGGGCGCGAAGCCGTCCGAAGGAGCTGGTGCGTGGAAGGGCTAACTTTGTTCACCGCGCTACGGAGAAATGACGATGAAACGTGATCGCTGGAAGGCAGCAAACGAGAGCTGCGCTCGGGAGGCCGGGCATGGTTGGAGGGCGTTACCCAACAAATTCAGACCGCGCCATCGACATGTAGATCGAGCGTCGGGACCATCGGCCTGAAGGACAATGCCCCAAAATCGGTCCAAAGGGCTCGGTTGGCAAGGATTTTATCACCAGATCCGAGAAGATGATCTCGTAACTCGGAGTTTTGACTAAATTTTGCGTAAGAAAATCCAGTGAGCACAATGTCTTCGAGCTCTAGTTCCCAAATAGGTTGGTCGAAACCACGGACTTCGCGTGGCCAAACTGCTTGTGTAAGGTGGGGTCGGATGCTCGCACGATGTATGTTCTACAAAGCTTCGTTGTCTTCGAAAAAGACGTACTTTTTCCATCCATGTCGAAAACTGCTCAGCACACAAGCCAACAACTCCATCAACCACAATGAGAGTCGACGGTGTCCATTGGGGAAAACGAGAGGGGGGCCTCCAAAAGAGTATCATGTCAGGAGTACAATACTCGGGAGAATGGTCGACAGCAGCCAGAGCTGTAGGGGCCAAAGTGCCCTCAGTGCTGAAGCCGAAGCTGGTGTTGCAGCCGAAGCTGTGGTGGGCAAAACGCCCGTGTTGGGTTTGACGGCATAGTCTAGACATCGGTGGGGATGGTCCCGGAACGGCAGGGACCGGCGAAGGATCGACCGAAGTCTGATGCCAGCGCCTCGATGCTGCGTGCGCCCCAATTATAAACCTGAAGAAACGCCTCGTAAGATGTCATTCAACAGGCCGCTTTCGCTAGGAACGGCTGCCAAGGCCGGGCCAGTCAAACAACTGAGCCGGGCGTGGTGCTCCTGGCCATTCCCCCGTGACAAGGTACACGCGAGACCGCCGGCTGTTCGGAGGTCACTCCGGGAGGGTCCTCCCGAAGCGGTGGTGTCAACACTGTCGACGTCGGTCACGGCGTCCTACTATTAGGCGCCTCTGTGCGAGCGTGGGTCGGAGGAGATGGGGCGTGCAATGACGACCCATGGTCGAAATGTCGCGTGGCGGAATCTGATGAGTTCGATGGTCGCAACCTCGGCAACAAGGCGATTCGAAGCCAGGCGAATTGACCCTGAAACTTGCCGGTCGGAAACAGTCAAGTTCGCTACCGGTGCAACGGTCGAGGGTGGACCCTCAACGGAAGCGAACACAGACGAATGAAACGCGTCCGAAGATTCGCCCGAGAGAACATAATCAGGCGATTCCTCATCAATCGTCCGAAGCGTATGGCTACGGTCGGTCCTACCTGCAGACGACGGGGTGAGTGAACGAGCGGTATTCGATAAAGTGACACCATTAGACTAGTCAGCGATGACTAGTCTAGTCTAATGGTGTAACTTCATCGAATAAAAGATATGCTCAGAGCTCATTTGCACCCGGCAGGATCACTTGTTGGGTTGGTGTGTGAGAAGGGATCTCCGGGGACGGACCCCTCGCCAGACGCTGCCTGAAAAGAACTTCGACTAATGGTGCTTGGAAAAGTGAGCAGCACGGTCGAATCCCGGCTGCTCACTTTTCCAAGCACCATTAGTCGAAGTTCGTTTCAGGCAGCGTCTGGCGAGGGGTCCGTCCCCGGAGATCCCTTCTCACACACCAACCCAACAAGTGATCCTGCCGGGTGCAAATGAGCTCTGAGCATATCTTTTATTCGATAAAGTTACTCCACCCTAATTAGTCTCATGGTTGAACATTTGGCGATATAGTCTAGGATTCAGGCACGGCTTCGAAACCCGACTGGTCACTTTCCCAAGCACCATTAAGGATTTCTGGCAGCATCTAGGGAGGGGTCTGTCTCCGGAGATCTGTACTCACTCACCAACCCAAAAATGGATCCAGCTGGTGGTGCAAATGAGCTCTGAGCATCTATAGTCTACTTCGACAAAGTTACACCATAGAATAGATATATGTAACAGGGTGTGAAGGAACAACAGTAGTACCGAAGTATTGTTGGTGTTATGTAAAACCGAAGTGATAGAAGCAACAGGGCGTGACACACGCAAGTACAGGGCGTGACACACGCAAGTACAGGGCGTGACACACGTAAGTCTTGTTATGAACGAGACGAAGTCCCCGAAGTTGCTGGAGGCGGTCCAAGGGAAGGAGGCGGACCACCGTCGATGAGTCCTCCTGAGCGAGAACGGCCACCATTTTTGGAAATTATCAGGCTGGCGAGAGTTTTGATTGGTCGAAACCATGATGCCAGGCGAAGGACCGGTTTGAGCATGCGGGTGGGGTTGGTGGACGGACAGACCACCAGCGTGGTGGGTGTTGCCAGACGTCTGTTGTGTAGTGTAATGGCTACCCGCAAAAATTCCCGGGGTGTAACCTCTGTTGTGTGACTATGGCTGGTGATTGGGAGGATAACTACCCACCGCCAGAACAACGGCGAGTCCTACGATCGATGTAGCGTGGTCTCGACGCTGAGAGGCGGAGGAAGAGCGCTGGTTACGTTTACCCTGACTGGTGTTGCGGCCGTCCGAATTTTTGCGGCGGAAAGACCGCATGCGGCCTTGCCAACGCCTTAAAGCAGCAGAATCACCATTGAGATGACCCAACTCGGTATTCAGAATACCACTGGAATTCTTGAACGGCGAAGCGCATTGCTTCATGGAATGGTCATCACCCGAGCAGTTCAGACAGCTTGTCATGTTTTCGCGGAAGGCTTTTCTCATCTCCGGGCGCGTCCGGCGTGGGTCCGAGATGCACTGCGACGCAACAGGGTGCAACAACACACCCCACTTCTGTTGCCTTCGCCGTCCTAGTTGTGAAGAGAACCCACCACACCACTTGTCCGAAATGCGTAAAAAAATACAAAATCCCCAACCCGATGGATGAGATCGAAACCGATACCCCACGCGAGATCGATACATGACAGATTGAAGAAAAAAACTCCGCACCGCAAAGAAAGCTGCCTGCTTCACGAACGGGTTGCTCATAGATTGCGTTGTCAACGCTTTTGTTCTGCCATGCTTTGTCTTTTGCGTTGTGGAAAAAGGAATGGATACGCATTCCATTGTCTCCTGTGCTCGGGCTTCTGCAAGTCGTTCGTGAGTTTCAACATTTTGTAGACCCTACCATCAACCAGATGCGCCCTGATTCAGATCAACTCTCAATGCGCTGACGGTAAAAAGCCACACAACCTTCCTCCCACTTGAAACACCTCGCCTCCTCCCCTCGCCCACGACAGCCTCTACCGGCAAAATACACGAGCGCTTCGGTTTGGCATTTACGAACCAAACCAACCTTGCACAAACGATACGCTCTAGCCCCCCCCCCCCCCCCCCCCCCCCCCCCCTCCCCCCCCCCCCCCCCCCC